TATATATATATATATATATATATGTGCACCTCTCTTGATTGGGCCTTTGGTTCTTTTAGGTATCGCGGTGACGGACGTGTCTATCGTCTGAACATTCATCCCAAGACTTGGTGGGACGTCTTCTGGTTTGACTTTCACCAATTCCCTCTCTACACTCGAGGCGGTCCCTACTGGACCATCGCCAAGATTCCCATCTCGCGCTTCTACGCAGCCAACAAGGGCCATGTCGTTGATCGTCAGCACCGCCTGCCTCTCACTAAGGTGCGCATGATCTCGTTTACTCTGATGGACGGCGTCCCAGGCCCCTTCTCCCTCGAGATTGACTATATTGGCCTCTATTACGACAGGTTCCATAGTGAGGCCTTCGCCTATGAGCAGTACGATAGCCCTGCTATTCTTAAATAGCCCCTCAAACAACCCGCACCGGTGCTTGTACACATGTACTTTATCTCAGTTTTGCATTAAACTTCTGACTCTCCTTGATGAACTTTGAACTCCTGAATCTATTTTCTTCTGAGGTCGAAATTGATTGGAATTCCGAAGAGCATTTGGCGAGCATACGTAAACCTTCGATAAATTCTAGTTGGGCCAGTAGCTTTATATAGGAACGGGGTACATGCGGTCAATAATGTTCGTCATATCAAAGGAGTAAGTCGTGGGAGCTTTCACTAAGATGCACGTTAAATATGCAGTTCCCTTTTGACAACCAACTGTACAGGCAAATAGATGGCGTTGCTATACACTCGCCTCTTGGACCTCTGTTAGCTACTGTCTTAATGTGCAAGCTAGATAAATTTCAACTAAGCAATCAGCTCTATAAGCTAAAACACTATGGTCGCTACCTTGATGATATCTTCGCCATCGCCGCAACAGAAACCAATGTAGACGCACTCTTAAATACTGTCAATCAAGCACATTTGTCCGTTAAGTCCATGTTGGAGGTGGAAACGGTAAGTTCGCTCCCTTTCTCGGACGTCCTCCTAATTCGTAGATCTGAAGGTAGCGTCCGAAGGAACATTTATCGAAATAAAACCTGGTCTGGACAATGTACGAATATCAGCAGTTTTGTGTCCATCCAACGAGAGCGCAGTCTACTTTGCTGCTTAGTGCAAAGGGCTAGAAAATTATGCTTGGCAGACAGTATTGAAGAGGAGCTTAAGAATGTTCAGGACCTCCTTCGTGAGAACGGGCATACTGAGACTATACGGGTATACTAAAGTAAAACTCAGCGCACTCAATGTGGAAAAGAAAACTTTATTCCTCAGGGCCACCTTTTCAGGAGGATGCATCAAGTGAACTCCTGAGAAGACGCCTTGAAAAGGGCGTGTCACGAAACTTCCCAGCAGCGAGAGTGCGGATATTATTCTTAACCAACCCGACCTTGCACGAGGAGGGAAAATATAAGTTCTCAGCCTAGATCACCTCCATACGCATTTATTCATTAACTTGCTCTGGTGGGACACGTTATATTGGTCGCACTATTCAGTGCTTATCCAAAAGAATAAGGGAACACCCCCCCCGGCATGGCTGAGAAAAGGTGAAGTCAGGAGCATAAAAAGCGCTATTCTCGCACACATTGTGGATTCAGGACATCGTG